GAAGGAAGGAGGAGGAGGAGAAGGAAGAAGAGGAGGAGAAGGAAGAGAAAGAGGAGGAGAAGGAAGAGGAGGAAGAGGAGGAGGAGGAGGAGGGCTGTGGAGTTCTTGCTGCTCTCTGAATTTGGTGGTTTCCTTGCAGACGTTTCATGGCCCAACTAGGGAACATTATCAGTGCTAGAAGTTTGCTCAAATCTCCCTCTCCCTTCTAGCACCGAATGATATAACCTCATTGGATCATGCGAGAAAGCAACCAACCTGAGAGATTTCCAAGTTTTCCATGTAAAGGAAGAACTCCAGAGCAAGGAGAAAAGATGTAAATCTCCGAGTTAAAAGGGAGAATAAAGTAGCCTAAATATACTCACAGCTTGGACTTGCAACTGGAGGTCGTTCTTCTCCTGGAGCAATGAAACCATTTTCTCCTCCAGCTCCTTTCTCCGGGTTTCTGACTTCTCCAGAGCTTCCTTCAACCTCCCGAATTCCTCTTTCATCGTCTGTGAAGAATGCAAGAATCACCAATCATCAATCAATCAATCAATCAATCAATCAAAATAGAGATGGAAAGGACATTGGAGGTCTTCTAGTCCAACCCCCTCCTCAAGCAGGAGCCTATATACCATTTCAGACAAATAGCTGTCCAGTCTCTTCTTAAAAACCTCCAGTGATGAAGCACCTACAACTTCTGGTGGCAAGCAGTTCCACTGGTTGATTTTCTCACTAACGGGAAATTTCTCCTTAGTTCCAGGTTGCTTCTCTCCTTGATTAGTTCCCACCCGTTGCTTCTTATCCTACCCACAGGTGCTTTGGAGAATAGCTTGACTCCCTCTTCTTTGTGGCAGCCCCTCAGATATTGGAAGACTGCTATCATGTCACCCCTAGCCTATCTTTTCATTAGACTAGACATATCCGGTTCCTGCAATCATTTTTATATGCAGGCCTTTAATGATCTTACAGGTAATCCTTGACTTACAATAGTTCATTTAATGACTGCAAAGTTACAATGGCACTGAAAAATGTGGCTTATGATCATTTTTCAAAGTTAAAAGAGCTTTGCAGCATTCACACCATCAAAATTTAGATGCTTGGTAACTGTTTCTTATTTATGACGGTTCAGTGTCCCGGGGTCATGGGATTCCCCTTTTGCGACCTGCAACCACTGCAAACAAGGTCATAAAAAGGGTCCCACGGTCCCCCACTTAATAACTAGCATGAGTTACAACCGTATTTCCTGTTAGAAATCCTGTTTATATATAGCACTACAGAGCAAACAAGGAGCACAATCACCATGTGCTTTGCTGCTCAATTGTTTTGAACTGAAACAGGAAACTCTATTTAGAACAAAAGAGCAGAGAGTATATATATCATAGATCCAAACTTGTAAACTACTGTAGTTTTGAACTGAAACAGGAAACTCTACTTAGAACAAAAGAGCAGAGAGTATATATCATAGGTCCAAACCTGTAAACTACTGTAGTTGTTGCATGGAAATATATTCCAACAATGAATTCCAACATTCCCGGATTCAATTACAGCTGTAAGTGGAGGATGGCCTGTGTAAATGTACATATAAATGTAACTCTTTTGTATTTTTAAGGTTTTAATTATGGGGACATTGTTTGCTGCCCAGAGTCAATTCTACTGAGACGGAAAGCTATTAAAAAGAATGAATGAATGAATGAATGAATGAAAGCAGTCACCTGCATTTCTTTCTCAGTTTCCGCGCTCTTCAGCAGAGGTTTGATCTTGAAGAACAGCTTCATCCAAGGCCAGTTTTTTACCCCCATAAAAGCTCGGATGTTGTACTGGATAATGAGCAAAGCGTCCCTGGTGGAAGGGACCAAGGAGAACCACACCATAACTTTTCAGAAAACCCCTTTCTCCCTCCGTCCCGCAGAATTCACGCCTCAAAAACCCTCGGAATTTCAAAGCATTCGACTATTGTTGCAATTCAAAGCAGAATGTGAAAAAAAAGCCCCCCCTTTTTTTCCAGCAGTGGACTCATTTAGGGACCATTCGTGATTACAACGGTGACGAAAAAATAATTTCCTGCCCAACCCTTACATTTACGCCTTTCACAGATCTGTAAAGCAAATGAAAGCTGGAGAAAGGTCCTAAAGATAATTGTCATTTCACTCCATAGCTGCTTCGCTTAACGACCAAATTGCTGGTCCTTGTTGCTAAATGAGGACTACCCAAATTGTTCCTTTATATTTTATAGGTTATAAGCTACTCAAAGTGGTGGGAAGTTGGGCAGCCTCTAAAACTGAATCAGCCCAAGAAATAAATCGATCAAGGAACATTCCGGAAGGTAAACCTCTAAACGCAACAAGAAATTGGTTGTGATAATAACACACTTTGCATTTCGACTATGCCTTATAAACCGTCAAGGGTGGAGTCACACAGGTGAAGCTTAAAGCCACACCGAAGTGGACTCTTGACATAGGCGAGACTGAAACAGGTGGTCCTTGACTTATAACCATTCATTTAGTGACCATTTGAAGTTACAACAGCGACTTACAACCAGTCCTTACACTTACAACCAATTTGTGTGAGCGGTGGGCTGGCACGTACGTGTATGCGTACACAGCTCAACCAGTGGAGCTATGCAGCATGTGCGTGCCGCCTGCACCGCCGCTCCTGTGAGTCAGTTTCAGAGGTGGGTATTCAGCAGGTTCTGACCAGTTCTGGAGAACCGGTAGCGGAAATTTTGAATAGTTCGGAGAACCGGCAAACACCGCCTCTGACTGGAGATTTTGCAGTATCCTTCCCCTGCCACGCCCACCAAGCTACACCCACAGAACTGGTAGTAAAAACATTTAAATCCCATCACTGGATGCAGCCAATTTCTTCCGCAACCCAGTTTTGAAAAGGCTGCGGCCCAGTAGTGGGCCCCGGCCCTGGAGATTGGGAACCTTTGCTATAGACCAGGGGTGTCAAACTGGATTTTTTCGATGTCCAGTTCAGCATTGTAGTTGTCCTCTGAGGGCCCGCTGGTGGGGGGGGG